GTAAAAACAACCAGTGCACATTCGGAAATGAGAAAATGCTGGGCCATTGAATTTTAATTAAACATTAGAATTTATTAAATAATACACTTTAACTTTTGACAAGTTAGTGGTCCAGGGGATGAAAAACCAGAATTTTCATTGACTAAATATGTTATTATTTAAAATCCTGATTTTCCTACTAGTGCCTGCCAAAGACAAATGTTCCCATTAATAAAATGAGCTTGTTTATAGTCTTCAGTTTGCATGATTTCAGACAGGTTTGGGTCTGGGAAGTCATAATTTCACCTCAAGTTCAGGCTCCCTACTCCTCATGTTAGGATTTAAGGCCAAGCGGAGGCCTACCTTTCCCGATTGGCACTTAGAAACCTATTATGATCTGGAAGAAAACCTAGGGAGGAAGAGGCCGGGGAGAGAGGAAATCAGGTAACCCAGCGCCAGGGCCAAATCCAGTTTGGTCTGCAGGGAGTCTGTATGTACTGAGGACTCAGAACTTGTGAGTTTCGTGTTTACTTTAATTCAAAGTTGTTCAGAGTTGAGGAGAGGTGGATAGATTCTAATGGCCTACACACATGCGAGCACACAAATATATTTCGTGTGTTTCCTCAAGATGCTGAGCTGTATACAGGAGATAAAATACACTGACACGGAGGGAAAAACCAGAGGATACTTCTCGGAGAGCAGCTGAGATCCCAGAAAAGAGCGCTCCACTGGATTAACCAGAGTTTCCAGAGCGCAGCGGGTGTGTGTGTGTGTGGGGGGGTAGGGCTTAAATCCCACAAGAGCCCCTCTTCCTGATCCCCTGGGTCCCCCACTCTTAACCCCCTTCCCTCCCTGGACTCTTTCTCATCCGTCCCCCTACCTGTTGCCCTTAACTGGAGAATGGAGGCCCCACCACCCCACAGTCACCTCCGAAAGCCCAGGATGCAGCAGGCACATGAAAGAGCCCTCCAGCCCCCGAGGCGGGAGAGCCGGAGTCACCGCCCTCAGGCCGGCCTTGCCACGCGAAATGCCCGCCACCCCCGCCTTCCCTCCTCCCGCCAGCGCTGCTTCGTGGGCGGCTGGCGAAGGCCCCACGTCCTGTCTCTGAGGGGGAAGAACTAACTGTTCCAGGGCCTTCACCCCCAAGGCTCCTAGGGGGCAAATCACAGTCCCCGGGAACCGCTCAAGGGAGAAGTGCCGTCCGGGTTGCCGCTTCGCTCCAATGCAGAGGCCCATCTCCTCCGCTGCGAGCCCTCGCGGAGAGCCGGCCCGGCGCCTGGCCTTGGCGGGTGTGTCGAGCCAGGGCCCTCACCAGGCCGGGACGCCCTGCAGGGTGGCGGGCAGAGGGTCCTG